AAGGGGTAAGAGAGGGAGATGAAGGAGGGGAGGATTGCTAGGACATATGTGACTTTTCTATATGATATGGTTTTTGTACTGTGATTTTAAAAGTTTTGTGAATATATGTGGTTGGATTGTTAGAAAAGGTATGTAGTTAAGTGGTTGAATTTTTGATTATTTATGTGGTTGGATTTTCGTATATTTATCTGATTGGATTTTTGCGTATATGTGGTTGGTTAGATTTTCCGTATATACATGTGGCTAAAACTTTGTGTATATGTTGAGATTGTATGTATATCACAGGTTGTGAAAGATAGTATATATGTTGAGAAAGAGATGACAGATAGCAGAGTGCTGTTAGAATGAGTCTACAACTCCATGGCATTCTTGATCTTGTGGAGTTTGTAGTATAAACAAACTTCATGAGATTTGAAATCCCACGATGTTTGTGTTGTAAGAAACTTCATAGGATTATCAATTCCGTGAAGCTTAATATGGATTAGCTTAATATGGATTAAACTTCACGAGATTAGGAATTCTATGGAGTTTAATTATCCACTAAACTTTACAGGATTCTTAATCCTGTGAAGTTCGTGGTGAAATATTTCTCAAAATCGACTCAATTAGCCCACGTTGGTGATGTGGTTGAAACTAAGTCGAATTTGCTAAATATTTAGCAATTAGGTCAAAAATGATGAGTAAGTTTCAAAAATGGTCTATTTTAAAAATTTATCTACAAATAAACATTGACGAGCTTTATTATTGGCAAAGGGTTTTTGTCTTCAGACCCAAAGTTTTATCCCCATTTATTTAAAAACCCATCAACTTCCAAAAATACTTGTACACTAAAAGTACTTCATCTATTTATCTTTTAATCCAATCTACACATTACATAGAATTAGTATACAGAATTCCTTAAAAACAAGAGCAATTACTAAAACACCCTTCCATCTTTATCTTTCCGGTTCCAAGCTAACGCTCATTTTACCTCAACGAATCTTTGTTAAGGAAATCCCAGCTCTTCTTATTCAAAAGCCCATCAGACATCAGCAACCCCATGTCTTAGATTGACGACGATATCCACCAATTCTCACGGTGGAGGACCCCCTGCTCTACCTCTTCTCCAAGCTCCGGCAACACCGCCGATGAGCAACATGCAGTCAAACACAGAGAGAGCCCATCAAAATTGGTAAAACACTTCTATCTCTATCAACGATCAAACACTTATTTTAGCATTCTATCAAACAACAGGAGAACGTTGTGTGAGGTTGGACGATGGAGAAGATGGGTTGTGGCTGTGTTTGGTGAAGAGAGGGTAGTTTGGGGTTTGTAATTTTCTCAGTATATAAGTATAGATAGAACTAGGTGGGTTCTAAGAGCATCTCCAAGAGCCTCCATATCTCATGTCCTTGAGTAAATTTAGGGAGTATGAGGGGGAAATTTGGCTCCAACAATCTCCCTATAATGAAGACTAAATATAGGGCTTATGATTTGGTATTCCAAATCAAAGACAAGAAATGACTCCCTATATTTAGTCTCAACATAAGGAGCATTGTTGGAGCAATCTCCCCCTCCCCTCCCCTCCCCTCCCCTCACATACTCTCTATATTTAGTCTAGGGCATGAGATAGGGAGCCATTTGAGGAGCATTGTTGGAGCACTTGCTCATTATTTTGCTCCCTATTTTCTAGGATGAGAGATTTGCTCCTCAAATATAGGGAAAACCTAAGATCATTGTTGAAGATGCTCTAAATAAATCAGGAAAAAACTTTGGATTTATAAGCGAAAACCCCTATAAACATTTGGGTGATTGCAAAAGAAAATGCATTGGGGATCATTTTTATGGGACAGAGGGAGGGGACACCTCACATGCCCTCTCCCCTTGTCCCATAAATATGGTCCCTATAGAACTACTCGATTGCAAATAACCCCTACCATCTATATCTCCTGTTGCATCTATCGGCTCTCAGCTATTTTACTAGCTGTTAATACCTCTGTTCACATGTTGAGAATGACCACAACCCTTTCTCTCATATGAATCAATCGATGGTAATTGCTAGTATAACAGTTAGAGGGGTTATAAGTGTTAGCAAATGTATAGATGAAAGAGTTATCTACAACTTACCTGAGCAATTTATAAACATCTTTAATAGAATTTGAGCCTCGCTGAAGATGATCTTATTAATTTAACAATAAATCATAGTAGAAAAAATGCAAATCCTAAAAAAAATGTTGAAATATATTTCAAACAACTATGTATGAATTTGGATCATTTTCACTATATATTAATAAAAAAATGGAGAAACCACTACATTAATCAAAGTCGTCGATATATGTAGTAGATGATTATGGTTCATTCCGTATCTAACACTCACTATTATCCCATGAATTACACTATTTTCCTAGTATATTCTCAAAGACATTTCATAATCATCTACTACGCAAATCAACAATTATGATATAGTTATAGACTCTCTACTGCTAGATAGTGGAGAGAATATGAATCCTATTTATTTTGTAATAACTCAATTTAGAATTGAACCCAAGACTATAGAAGTCATATTGAAACCTCCCCACCGTCCAAGTCATCCGCGGTGGGCTTGAGGATGGAAATCCTTAAGTACGAGCAAGAAAAGTGTAACTATAAAATGGGCTAAACAATAACGCGAGACGGTTTGGGCGAAGCGTTGGACGAAGCGTTTATATGGGCTTAGAGATCCATTAGACCTGGCCAGGGTCGGCCCTGGGGTAAGCCCACCAAGCCCCGGGGCTGGGGCAACCTAGGGTCGGGGGGCAACCATCGCGATTACATCCTTCACTCCTCAAACCGTAATAATTTTCAAAGTGGACTTTGTAAGAGGACCTTTATGCCAAAATTGTTAAGGGTTCTATTAGTAAAAACTCTTATTAATACCCAAAGCCCTACCCAACTCCTCCTTTATTTCCGTCAGCCTCCTCTCCTCCTTCTCGTCTCTGTTCCGCCGCTCATAAAAAAAGGAAAAAAATGGAGAGAATCTGAATCGACGGAGACACCGCTCTGTTTCGCTGTCTCTGTTCTGTCAGCCTCCAACTCCTCCTTCCCGTCTCTGCTCCCATCCTTCGGATCACCCTGCCGACTCCTCCGACAATCCGATCTAGTCACCCAAAAGACGGAGAGAATCTGAATCGACTTATCGACGCCGACGGCCGATCGGTCCATCAAAGAAACACAATCAGATAATTTTTTAAATAAATAATTTTAGGGTTTTTTTGGACAAAAATTTGGGGTTTCGATGTTTTGCAATGAAATTAAGATTTCTGATTTTGAATCTTGGCTGAATATTAGTTGTTGAATTAGGGGTTATGATGTTTGGGTGGTTCCGTCTAGGTTTTTGTTTTGAAATTGTAAATTAGATTTGATTTAGCTATTTGGGTGGCACAGTTATGTCTTCTGACTAGTTTCTCACGGTCTCCATAAGTTTAAAAGAAGTTTATCAAAGTTGAAAGATAGAAAGAGGAAATAATGTTTACTTGTTAAAAAGTTCATCTCCCTTCTAGTCGTCTAAAACTCGAGAAATGTTTTTCTTTGAATTAAATTGTAGCACAAATGTAATTTTTTCTTATATGAATATTGATTTTGCAAGAGAATATTATCAGTTTGAGCCCAATATAGAACGCTAAATGGTATTATATGTATTCATTTTTATCGTTATTGTTCGTACCAAATTTTTAATATAAGGAGCAATTAAAATTGGAGTGGGCTAGGGCAACCCAAACCTCGGGGCCGGCCCTGGACCTAGCTCATTAGTACTAAGTTATTTGTGATCTACATTTGGGTAATGGATAGGGCTAACTCCAGAGGAGTTCTACGGACACTAGCTTACGGTTGGTTTTGTAATACTTGCTGCTCTGGGAAGGAGGAGATTATGCATGTGCGGCCAACAATTTTAAATCAGCATGAAAAATAAAAAAAAATAATACAAACTGAATATAAAATCAATATAAAAATTTATAAAGATTATTATATAAACATTTATAAATAACAATTATTACAATTATGAGCTCCGAAGGTTACATTGTCATGCGTGTAAACTTGTCATTCATCTCTGTATGATTTTCCACAAATGGCGGTTATATAATTCCTTTAAGTGAGTTGTCAATTGTTTTTTGCATTAGGCCCAAGTTACTAATTAAGTCCTAATATATTGGTTTGTATTTTCTTTGAGAATTGTAGATTAGGCCCAAGTCTCTTAAGGGACACGTGCGCTGCACGTGCTCCGCGCAACTGTTTCATGAAATTGAAGAATTGTTTACTGGAAAGTTATAAAGAGAAAGATCACACTTTATCTACCTAGGTGTTTAGAAAGAGATAGATAAAAGTCAAAATTTATATTTTATCTACTAATTGCCTTTGAAATTGTAATACATACAAATTTGTTTTTTTTTTTATCCTTTAAAGTATGCTTTTTGATCTCCTGTCAATAGCTTTCTTTGTCGAGAGCCCGAACAAACCAATTCCCTAAGCCCAATATCCTTCATTACCTATTCGCAAACAACCAATAAACCAACCCAATATCCATGTCAAACATTCATAACAATTTATTCGTGTGATATATTTTCCTTGATTACAATTATCTAAAATAGAGCGGAAAAATTGATTGAAGCTTTCGGATGTCAAAGTGTTAGAAAAATACTTAAGGATATTAAAGTGAAATAAAATTGAAACTTTTGGCTATCAAAGAGAAATGTAATCGAAAATTCGGGGTACAAATTAGTCAAAGTGAAAGTGCACAAACTATGGGGGTGCCAAAGTGAAATTAAGCCTTCAAAAACTGATGAAAATAGGAAGGGGAAATTGCTTCTAGCCCCCAATTTCATTACAGGTGTTCCACCCCCTCCTAAGACTTTTTCAACGCTCTCAAAACCCCCAAAAGTAAAGCGATAATTCCCTGAGCCCCCAAAACACAAAACCCAAATGATTAAAATATGTGAAGACCATAATACCCTTTCTCTTCCTCAAACTCCCATTCCTCAGGAACCCCCCGTTCGAGTATATACGACATCAACACATTGCAGCAAATACCTCGCTGGTGGAACAGAGACGATCCTTTCTCGTTGGAAACACTTCCATCCACAGTGATCAATGATAGAAACGAGGAGTTACCGGAGATCGGTAGTGAGATGCTGAAAGAATCATAAGTAAACGGTCCTTTCCCAGTGATCTTACCGGCGGGTGGCGGGTTCGGGTTGGTGAAGTCAAGGGTGAGCCCTCGAGGCAGGAAACTCACTGTTGGAGAAGGAATCGGAGCTGGCTAAACTACAGTCACCAAAGAGCACAACGGAGACGAGGATTCATTAGGAGGCTGGACCGGGTCGCGCCTGAACCGGGCGTGGCCCGTTTGATCGAGGGCGTTGATGAACTTCTTGAACTTGGAGACGGTGTTGTCGGTGATGGCCAAGCAGTCAAATAAAGAAGATGACGAAGATTGATGGCTAAGGATGAGGACGAGCGCTTCCATGCTCTGGAGGCTGGCGATGGCTGCTTCCTTGATCGTAATCCGATCGTCCATTTTTGAAAAGTTGATCAGATCAATGGCCATTGATGGGGGTGAAGGAGAGAAGATTGGGTTTGGGGAGGAAAGGGGGTTATTTATATTGGAGGAATGAGTTGGTTGTGAAGGATACTATTGGTTGTGAAGGTGTTACTGGTTGGTTGTGAAGGATGTGTGTTGGTTGTTAAGGTTATGCGTTGGTTGTGAAGGTTACGGATTGGTTTTTAAGGTTACGGGTTGGTTATTAAGGTTACACGTTGGTTGTGAAGGTTACAGATTAGTTGTTAAGGTTACGCGTTGATTGTGAAGGTTACATGTTGGTTATTAAGGTTACGGGTTGGTTGTTAAGGTTACGTGTTGGTTGTGAATGTTACAGATTGGTTGTTAAGGTTATAGGGTGGTTGTTAAGGATAAACGTTGATATTTTTCGTACTCAACTGAATACATAAGCCATTTCTACTTATATAGCATAATTTCTCTCATGCCGCAGTTGACGATTATGAACCATTACAGTGTATAATAATGTGAATGTAAAAGATTACTGACTAGTTTGGAATTACATTCACATTCATATTCTTTATCTAAAGGATTACCTGTTTATTCATTGAGATATATATGTATATATATTTTGAGTGACATAAATACTTTGGGCCTCTTGGTTTGGTGGTAAAGTTTGGGAGGTTGGACATGATGTTAGGAGTTCAAACCCCTACCGCCACAATATATTTTTAAATGTCTTTGATTGGGCCTTGCTCTTTGAATTCTAAATATATTTTTAGAATATTCGTTGTAAAAGTTACGGATTAGTTGTGGAGGTTACGCGTTGGTTGTTAAGATTACGTGTTGGTTGTTAAGATTACGGGTTGAATGAGGTCATGTGACCCCTTCCATAGTTGAGGGATTTTTTATAATACTAAACTTAACATTTTGGAGCAAAATTGAGATTTGGATTTTGAAATCATGATCTTATATACATGACATTTAAATTAGATTTTTTTTCCATAAAAAACACCTTTTAGATACGGCGAAAATAGAAGAACTATTTTTAAAGTTTAATTTATGCAGAAACCATCTTTAAAAGTAGTCTCAGTTGCAATCCACCGTCTAGACCCATTTTCTGATTAAAATTTATATGAACTTCCCAAAACGCCCTTGAAAATGTATTAAAAAAATACATAATCTTTTGTTAATAATAAATGTCATGCCTGACACATTCATATTTCACGGTTATCTTAGAGATTTCAATCGAAAGCTCGTCAAAAAATAGGTCAAGATGATTAATTACGACATGGAGCCGCTTTCAAGGTGATTCCGGTGTAAATTAAAACATTAGAGGTAATTTCTCTATTTCCACCCTATTTTAAAGATTATTTTCTTGAAAAGAAAAATTCTATCAAAATCCTAGATCGGTACGGCCCGAAGTAGATTTATTAGGTCCAAATCGGAAACTTGGGCCCCAAGTCAGTTCCGATTCCTAGACCGCACGCATTCTCTCACCTACAAAGGGCCCCCAAATCCCGAAAGCAAATTAAAGCATCACAAAAGAAAGAAGAGCCTCCCTTTTCACCTTCCCCCAAACCCGAAAAAAAAAAAAAAAATCCCCCACATCGCAGGTTAGGGTTTCCGAACCTAACAAGCGGCGATGCCGAAGAACAAGGGGAAGGGAGGCAAGAACCGGAAGCGAGGCAAGAACGAGGCCGACGACGAGAAGCGCGAGCTCATCTTCAAAGAGGACGGCCAGGAGTACGCCCAGGTCCTGCGCATGCTCGGCAACGGTCGGTGCGAGGCGATGTGCATCGACGGCACGAAGCGGCTCTGCCACATCCGGGGCAAGATGCACAAGAAGGTCTGGCATCGCCGCGGCGCAGGCGTCGTCCTCGTCGGCCTCCGCGATTACCAGGACGACAAGGCCGACGTCATCCTCAAGTACATGCCTGACGAGGCCAGGCTCCTCAAGGCTTACGGGGAGCTGCCGGAGAGCACGAGGCTGAACGAGGGGATCCCCGGCGGGATCGACGAGGAGGACGAGGGGGCCGCTGATGATTACGTCGAGTTCGAGGACGAGGACATCGACAGGATCTAGGCGAGGACGACCGCAAGGCCAGAGCCGAGAGCTTTAGATTTTGGTATTATTGCTGTCGCTGCTTTTACTTTTTATTTTTTTTATTTGATATATTACTGCTTTGACGATGCCTGGATAATTATGTTTCTCTTAATTCAGTGTTATGTGGTCTGTGTTTGGGAGTCATTGGAATCATTGCCCAGGGTTTTTTGTTTGTTGATAGTTTGGTATGTAGTTAACCGTGATCGTTTGGAATTTAGGGTTTCATTATTGTGCTATGCTATGTGTAGTTCGAGATTATTTTTGCAACGGATGTAGGGTAATAATTGTAGAGCGCCGTTGGTCTTTATGCTTAACATTGCTTAGGGTTCTCTGCAACTCTTAATGGTTGTGCTGAGGATTGTTGGCGATTTTAGGGTTTTGTTATCGGATAAACGCTTGGTGTAGTTTGATGGTTTTTATCTTAGGCGTCTGATGCTTCGTCTATGATCTCCTGGGTGTGATGAGAATTTGATGGTTGATGATGGTATTGCTTGCGGTTTAATCTGATTTTGATCCCTGTTTTGTTTGCGATTTATCTTATTACTGGATAATACCATTTGTAATTCGTATTGTTTTTGTTGTGAGACTGTTTTTCTTGTTTCTTGTCAAAGGGGGATATTTCTTTGCTATTGTAACTGTTTGAAGTGTTTGGAGTGATGGGAATTGGTTCTAGGTGCGATTGCTGCTTCTCATTGCTATTGTGTAAAGGTTTTCCGTGATTCTTAATGGTTGAGTTTGAGGATGATGATATCGACAAGATCTGACGGTGCTTTTTGGTTGTTATTGTCGTTGTGATGTAGATCCAGTGTTTGCTTTCGTTGCAAGGATTTGATCCGGTTCTGATCTTGTTACATGTAATGTTATGTTTACTTTGGTGGCTCTACTTTGCGATGAAAGTAGAATAGTAATCGGTCTCACACTTTGTTTCTCTGCTCTTTTTTTTTTGCTGTAAGGTTGTTTTGTCAGATTTAGTGAAATTCTTTTGCTATTATGAGGATTTGAACTACTGGAGGTGATTACAATTGCTTCGATGCTATTGTTCTTAGTAATTGTTATTAGCATGCAATTGGACGTTTTATTTTAAATATCCACTATTTCCTTGATGCATCTTTTTGTCTAGTTGGGAAATTCATGTTGTTTATGCTATTGATGAGAAACTGAGTTTTAGAAGTCATGAATTGCGGATTGGTGGTGACTTTGTAGGATATAACAGGCGCTTTTAGATAATATATGCTCGAATTACTGATTCCTTTTAACGCATCATTTTGATTTTGAAGTGAGTTGGTATGATGAATGAATGGATGTTGGATCTCACGGATTTGTTCGATACCCAATTGACTGAATACTAAGTTTTCTTATTCTTGGCGTTAAAGTTCATGGCTTGGGATTTTTCTCACCTGCTGGCTTCATATCTGGTTTGATGATACATGGTATTTCCTTGAATTTGTTATGCTTTTATTACTGAAATATAATGGTGTGTTCCCCTTCTGTCCCTGGACCAAGAAATTTGTGTGGTATGATGGAACTTTTGTTTTGGGAGTGTTTATAATTATTGTTGGTTTGATCTTTGTTTGATTCTGATTTCATATTGTTTATTGTATAGCATAACCTGTGTTTCTATTATCTGTAATCTTCAAACCCTTGATAAGTGCTCAATCTGGGTCAAATTGGGATGTTTTCTTTATCTTCAAATCCTTGAAAACATATGCATGATTAAGCGCATGAGATTAATTGAGCTTGGGAACTTTAATGTTCTGTTTGAGGTGTATTATTTGCTTGTGAAACAGTAAATGGTATAGGTGTCTCCACTAGCAAAAGTTCTAGTTTCTTTTAGTACTTGTAAATTGCTTATTTTATTGCAACATGAATGATGTCTGTGATAATCAATGCTTTTGAAACCTGCATGTGCTTAGTATGTGTAGTGCAAACTATATTATTCAAATAGTGAAATATTTCCATGGGGCTTGTTTGCTCTTCTTGAATTGTTTTTGGGTCCATCCCCTTAACTCAACAGATCCCTATGTAGTTATCTCTGACCATTTTCTTTAGTAAACTAATTTTTAGATTAAATCTTTTGGAACAGATCCAATACAGTTTCGAAACTACTCAAACACTACTATGCCTAAATATTATGGGGAACCCTTGATAACTCATCAATTTTGATAGCAATTCAAGTGGAAGGACCCTACACTTTTATGTGTAGTTGTGTTAAAATAGTTTGAAATTTGTATTTTAGTTAGAAATATCCTATTGTCTTATTAATCATGTTTACTTCCTGTTTCAAAATAAAGCTCATCGGTTTATCTAGTTTCCTTCGGGTCTGAGCTAAACAGACCCAAATGCGCTAGATGTAACCCTTCACTAACATGCCAAACACACATTTTTGACCGAGAGATTTGTTAACATGTGTACAAAGGTTAAGACTAGTTAACCCACCATATCAACCGGCTAATTATTCTGCTGATTTAGATGACAAAACATTTAACCCGCCTGTCATCGCTGGACGGTAGTTGAAGTACAGTCATCAGAGAAGAGAGATTGTGGCCAATTTCATATTTTCATATGAGATCGAAGAGAGACTAGCCAATTTGAGTTCTTTCTTATTACTTTCTTGTTCTCCTTGTCGTTAATTGTGAACATATTTATTCACTGTTTCAACTTCATCTGAGGATAAATATAGTTTCACATATACAATTTGCATTACGCATTAACAACATACCTATTACAGTTTGTCAAAAAATATTTTCTTTTTTGCAAATTATAAATGTGCACAATAACTAATTTATTCTGTACTTATATTTTATGAAAGAGTTGGGAATATATTTTTTCCGGAAATCATTAGTAATAGCTCCATTTTTAATAGGATAGAATGGGTATTTTTTTTTTTAAACTTAGAGCGATCAATCTCCTAAATATGTTTTTGATTGTCAAACAAGCAAAAGTAAACCTTCATCTGAGATATCTAATCTAACTAGAGTTTAATTAATTTTAACCCAGTCTAGTGAATTATTTAAGTTAACTCTTCTTCGTAATCCTCCCATCTTAACCCCTTGCCCAATGGAGCCATAGATTAAGAGTATTGGTAATCAGAGTATGAGACTAATAAACAATACATGGTGTGTAACTGATTTGATTGGAGCCTTGGTGCAATGAGATTTTCTTTTACTGATATCGTATCAAGATTCAAGAGTTGGGTATATAATGAAGAAGTATAAACGTTTTCTCTCGCAATGAAGTGGGATGGCTCTGCATTTTGGTAAAAAAAAAAAATGCACGATGTGCATAATAAATTAATAATTGAACTCTACATATAAAGAAGGGTTTTTTAGATAAATGTTTCTTTAGATCATAGATATTTTGATATTAGTTTCTCAAATCTTTATATTTTGATATTAATCCTTTAAATTATCTTAGTTTGTTGATACTAGTTCTTCGGTTAGGTTTACCATTCAAAATCCTAAATCACGATTGAGCTAACACCAACCATCTGTCTCCTCTGCCATCACCCGCACCTCTGCGAATTTTCTCCATCACCACGTCCTCCAACTCCACCGCTATCACCTCCGCTACCTCAATGACCTTCACTTCCATCTCCTTCACCACCATTTCCTTCACCTTCATCGCCTCCTCTGACAGCTTTTTAGGGTCCTCCACTGTCACCAACACCACCACCATCGCATAAGGAAGAGGGCTAAGAGGAGGTAATGGTAGCAGTCAAGGACGGAGAGGAGGGTGTTTGGATTGTGCCTTTAATTTTTTGTATAGTTTCATGAGAGCTAGTTAGAGTTAGAGGTCTATTATGATTAGGAGACTGGGCATCATCATGATAAGGAGTTTGTATCATATTCTAATTAGAAAGAAATACTAGAGATAGGACTTTGATTAATCTTCTAATGTTGGAGGAAAACTAATGAGAGAGGCATTATTCTTGTCATCTAGGTCAGGAGAGGGTGTAAACCAAATTCAAGATCGTGTGTGAGAGGAGAGGGTTTCATAGTTTTTTTCCGTGTAAAGCTTATAATATTGGGAGAGGATTTCACAGTTTTTGTCCGTCCAAACGATAATAAAGAGAGAGAGAGCTTTGGAGGGAATATGAGCGTTGATTATATAAGCAAGGTTGAGAGATTGAGAGATGAGAGTTGAGTGGTTCCTCTTGTACTTCTCCTTAATGCATAGTGAATTTCTTATATTATTGCCCTAAGGATGTATGTCTAAGTTGGTCGAACAAACCACATAAATTTTGGTGTTCTTCTTCTTGATTGTTAGTATTTTCTATCTTGTAGATTGTGATTGGCTTCCTAGTTGTGGAGGATCGTAGTAGGTGAGGGAACGAAAACCCCTAACAGAGGAAGAGGTTGGAGGGGAGAGGGAGGAGAGGGATATAACTGTCCATTCAAGAAAAAAGTTAAAGAAATGAAGTTTTCCTCACTATTATCAGCATATAAGATAATCCAGAGGGCTAATATCAAAATATAAACATTCGAGGGGCTAGTATCAAAATATCTATAATTTAGGGGACCAATATCTAAAAAATACCATAAAGAATTCAAATTGGATCATGTAATAACCCATATCTTGAAGTAATTAATTGATGATTAGTTAATTAGTCACTAGGAAAGAGTTCCTGGAGCATTTATCCAAGTCAACCATTCTACACAACATATTAAACAAGTAATCCATTGACTTGAAACTTCTTTAAACTCGAGCTTCATAATTTAAGCAGAGAAATTAGACTTTCTTCTTTAGAAGTGATGCTTTGGTTTCATGACATAATAAATTTAGATATTGATAGATGAGAAACTAGGATTGAGTTTGGACTAGTTTTTTCTTAACTAGGTTAGTATTGGTCTGTATAGAGGTTGATTAAAAAAAGAACTAATTTAAGGGTGTGTTTGGCAAACTCCTAGAATTGGGTCAAGACTGAACCTGTTCCAATTTTCAGTCCTGGCCCAGTTTTGGGTTTGCTTTTGATTAGTCAGTGCTGAATCTGGCTTAGTTTTTGGGTAATTGTCAAACAAAATCTAAGTGTCAGAATTTGAACTAGAAAAAACTAGTTCAAATTTGGCCCAGTTTTGCCTTACTAAAAAACATTTTGGAACACATTTATATCTACTAAAACTTGAATATTTCCATTGCAAAGAGGCTCTATCTAGAATCTCATATAATATTCTCGATCATATGAAAAATTAGATTTTGTTTAACCTGGTCATCTATACGAGATATACCGACACAGAGATCATTGAGATTTTCACCCATATAGATGCTTAATCCAATTATTCTTTAATAGTTTAACTTAGCAGTTCAAAAAATATTTTTCAACCAAACACTTTGCATTGTAAATGCATTTCCTATAATAAAATTGAAAACGTTCAAATAACAGAACTTGATTTCCAGCAACAAATGTTGCATTCAACATTTATAAATTATCCATGTAAGTTAATGGTTTCAATACTATCTAGATTATTCAGTTTTTTATCAGCACATTACAGAAATTACTCCAAGAAAGTGGGCAAATGGCTGTGAATGGATGAAGCTTTACTCTTATACAGATTACCAAGTGAACGGACAAAAAATAACTGTGTTACATCAACAAAACAAAGCTTCAAATGGCCCTAAACAACTACACAACATCTAGAAAACAAAAGGCCATTACTCATGAAATATCTACAACATTTTCAAACATTTCATGGAACCAAGCTAATTGTGAACCGGTGCTGCATAAAACGATCCCCATAGCTACCTACAGTATCTATCTACAACATAGACGATATTAACATTTTCTTTAGAGAAACCATTATAAACTACACTCTTGATCCAACAATGAAAATCTCTTTGATGGGTTATTAATGCCATGGATTGACATTGCTGGATACTTTATCTCATGCCGAAACTTTCTGCTTGTTTTTGGCTCTTAGGGACCTCAATCTCCTTTCCAAGGGAGATTTCTCTTCCTTCTTCCCCATCTTATCAAGATAGAAAACAACCTTCTTCAAGGTTTCAACAGTCACTTCACTCTCGTACCCTAACTCTCTCTCTTGAATGCTCAAAATCCTTTGCAGTTTTGCTAGTATATTTGCATCATCCTTCCCCAATCTTGTCTGTATCGATGCTAAGCAGTCAAGGGCTTCAGCTGCAAGATCAAAAAAAATATGCTTAAATTATCAGCATGGGTCCCTCAGTGTTCATAAAGTAAAAGAATGGATGTAGTGAGAACTTTTCAGTAAGTATATGGCAAATTTAGTATGTCCAGGTGAACAAGTACATTGAAGCGTCCAAGTTGCACTAATTAAGAATGAGGAAACAATATATCAACTAACATGGATTCAGATTCTCTCTGCGGCAATTAGACAATAGAGATGTCACTTTTTTGAATCACAATAATCGTCTAACATTTAATGGACATTTATGATTTGGCTTGGATGAAAATGGAAACTGTTGCAACCCACAAGGGGCAATAGTGTTAATTATACAAAGGAGGTTAAATTGCAGTAAAGCTCCCTCATTTATACCTTCAGTGGTACTTAACACGCCTCAACTCATTAAGTAGCACTTAGCGCCATTAGCACCACAGGGTTGCCATTTTTTACAAAGATAAATTGCAGGTAACACCCCTCTTATAGATGAGGGGTCATATGCAATTTACTAGTAAGAATGAATCAAAACCGTCTAAATATCAAGGGAAAATTATGACATAGAAAGTGGTTTCTCCACTTTTAAATTGGTAATGTTAATCCTTAATAATGAGGATGAACAAGATGGACCCAGAATATTTGATAACTATAATATATGGCTAGGTATATTTTCCTATGCTAAGTATTGCTAACGCATCCAACATTAATCAAAATGGTTTCATGGAACCAATTCAGGGAAGTATAAGCTGACAATCATCAACAGAAGGAAACATTGCTCTTACCAACTGGAAGAGATTCTTTTCCGAAAGCATTCTCCCTAATGCGTGCCACCTCTAGAGCAAAACTCTCAGCTTCTTCGTCTTTCTTTAGATGGTAGAGTGCAACTGCAAGATGTAGCATGGGAACAGTTATCGACTGATCAGTGGGTCCCACTGATTTCGACATAATTTGCAAACATGTCCTCAGCAAGCGCTCTGCCTCTGTAAAGTTCTTTGACCGTGAATAAGAAGCAGCAAGGTTTACAAGGTGAGCTGCTGCACTTGGATGTTCGAGCCCTTTGTATCTTTCAGTAATTAGCAAACACTCTTGCAATAGCTCTCTGCCCTCCTGTTCCCTAAGAAAATGAAAACAAGTAAAATGAAGAATTATAAGATTTATGGAAATTTACATCTCTCATGTTGAGTAAGATACTGCAATAAACAATAGATAACTGCTTGGTGTGTGCAATAAATTTGGATGGTTTCTAACATAGAAATCTTGAGAGAAAATGTTGATCAAATAATTGATAAACTCAAAAATATTCTTGGGTACCTCTGAAGCTCTATTCCTTGCTCAAGACTTTCAAGTTATTTACAGGGTAAAATTTCGACCATTTGTGTAGACAAGTTATACTGCACCCCTCTATTACAGAAATCTTGATCTTTCTTTCTACGAGAGAAATGTTGGAACATTTAAACCCATGTATCATAGTAGGTATTGGATTAAAGAAGAGAACATAAAAGATGCTGAGCTACTGCCTTAGTTAATATGACATTGCATGCAGTTTGGTAAGTTTAAAAACAGGTCGTAAAGTCATTTACTATGAAAATGCCATAAAGCCCTTTCCACAGAAGGCACCTTTACTATCTGTAGAAAGATCAGGGTTATCTTCATTGATAGAATGACTTGGCTTATATAGCCTTACACCCACATTTACACAAAACCCCTCTAATATTCCTTAATTACATTATCTTTTCAACACTCCTCCTCAAGATGAGCGAAAGATATCTATTAAGCTCATCTTGTCACACCCTCTAGCTAGATCTACTGAGCTAAGTCCTTTAGTCAAGCAGTCTGCAGCCTGCTCCTTAGTTGGAACATGGCCTAATTCCAGTAACCCACTATTCAGCTTCTCTTTGATGAAGAATCTATCAATCTCAATGTGTTTAGTTCTATCATGTTGAACTGGGTTGTTGGCGATGCTGATAGCTGACTTGTTGTCGCACCACAAACTCATCTTGGCACCTTTATCAAGGTTCAGCTCTACCAGCATGTTCTTCAGCCACATCAACTCCGCAACCCCAAGGCCATGGCTCTGTACTCTGCTTCAGCGGTTGATCTCGCCACCACAGATTGCTTCCTGCTTTTCCAGGAGACTAAGTTGCCTCCTACAAATATGCAATACCCTGAGGTAGACCTTTGATCATCTCCGTAGCTAGCCCAATCTGAGTCACAGTAGCCTTCAATGTTCACATGGCCACTCCTCCTGAATCTTAGTCCCTTGCCAGGGGCCCTCTTCAGATACCTAAGTATCTGATATACTATATTCATATGACCCTTCCTCGGGTCATGCATGTAGCAGCTCACCACGCTCACCGCAAATGAGATGTCTGGACGTGTGTGACTCAGGTAGATCAGTCTGCCCACCAATCTCTGATATCTCTCACGATCAACAGGTTCTCCTGCCTCAGCACTTAGCCTGAAACTCTGATCAATCGGTGTAGTAGCAGGTTTGCACCCCAACATCCCCGTCTCTGCAAGAAGATCCAGTGCATACTTCCTCTGGGAGAGAACAATCCTCTTAGGTACATGAGCTATCTCTATCCCAAGAAAGTATCGAAGCTGACCCAGACCCTTCACTTCGAATTCTTTGCTCAGCCTTACCTTGAGCTGAGCAATCTCCTTCTCATCATCCCCTGTGATGATCATGTCATCAACATACACTGTCAGCATAGTGATGTGACCCTCACTTCTTCTGAAAAATACAGTATGGTCGGCATTGATCTGTCTGTATCCCATACTAACCATGGCTCTCCTGAACCTGTCAAACCATGCTCGAGAGGACTGCTTTAGTCCATACAGAGACTTCTTCAGCCTGTAGACCTTATCTACTGTCTGTCCTGTGTCACATCCATGTGGTATCTCCATATACACCTCTTCCACTAGATCTCCATGAAGAAACGCATTCTTCACATCAAGTTGGTGTAGTTCCCATCCACTATTTGTTGCCAAAGAGATCAGCGTTCGAACAGTACTCATCTTCGTCACTGGTGCAAAAGTCTCATCGTAGTCAATGCCGTATGTCTGGCTGTACCTTTTTATTACCAGTCGTGTCTTGTATCGTTTAACCTTTCCTTTTGGGCTCTGCTTCACAGTAAACACCCACTTGCATCCCACTGCTCTTTTTCCTGCTAGCAGTGTCGCTAACTCCCACGTGTGGTTCTTCTCAAGAGTCCCCAGCTCCTCATGCATAGCAGCCTTCCACTTTGAGTCCTTCTTAACATCCTGCCAGCTGTTAGGTATAATAACAGAATCTAATGATGCAATGAATGCTCCATGTGAAGGGGATATGTGAGAATAGGAAACAGAATGATTTAGATCCCAACCATATCTCTTAGGAGGATTTCCCGTATTACTGCGACTAGTCCTCCTTTCTGACATTGGAGTAGGGAGAGGGGTAGGAGTAAGAATGGTATTACCTAGAGTGTAGGGTGGTGTAGGTGTCTCAGGAGTTAGAGCAGAGCTGGACGAGGGACTAGGCACTGACGCTGTTACTGTAGGTACCTCTGGTTCCTTCCCCTTCCTACTGTATGTAAGCAACTCCCCCTGAGCTGTAGGCCTAACACCCCTTTTCTCCTCCTCTCCCCTTTCGTCTTCATCCTCCTTCTCTCCTAAGTACGGAATCGAAATTGGGATTGACCCCCTTGAGCTCTCACCATTCTCTCACTCTCGCCTAATACCTCCAGTATCGGGCAAGTCGCCAAAAGGTGAAGTAACCCCCACTGTGTAATACAGCTCAAGCTCCCGAAACCGCACGTCCATGCTGACAAACAGTCTTTTCTCCACCGGGCTCTAACAGACATATCCTTTATGGGTGTCATTGTATCCCACGAATATACACTTCACAGCCCTAGGGTCTAGCTTCCCAACCGATTGGCTGTTATCCTTTACAAAGCACACACAACCAAATACCTTCAATGGTAGGGCCCCCCCTCCTTTATCTCCCTTAAGTGTCTCATGGGGAAACTTCCACTCTAACACACTTGAAGGCGTCCGGTTAATTAAGTGAGCAGCAGTCAAGACTGTTTGTCCCCACAAAACCTTTGGGACATTCATTGTCATCATCATACTCCTAGCAACTTCTAAGAGATGTCTGTTCTTCCTCTTTGCTACCTCATTCTGAGCTGGGGTGTATGGGCATGTAGTCTGGTATAGAATCCCCTGAGCTAACAGATACTCCTCAAGTGCTCTGTTGGTGTATTCTGTCTCATTATCCGACCTCAACACCTTTACTGCTGCACAATACTGAGTCTGGATGTGCTTATGAAAATCTTTGAAACAGCCAACAACATCACTTTTGTTTTTCATAAGATATACCCAAGTGACTCTAGAGAAGCAATCAATAAATGTAACAAAAAACTTACATCCATTTATAGAATTAACTGGACAGTGTCCCCATACATCCGAGTGTATTACTTCAAACTTGCAAGAACTCCTATTACCCGAACTAACATAAGAGCTTCTAGTCAGCTTCCTAAACTCACAAGCATCACACTACAGCTTTTGTTTATTTACTTTTCCAAACAAGGTTGGATACATTTTACCTAAAATGTCAAATGACGGATGTCCCATCCATTGATGATAAAATATCAACTCATCTTCTGCACACACTTTAGCTCCTCTTGTTCTCGTCCTCTCTATCACAGATGTCAGCGCTGAGTCCATCCCTTTATGGTCCAAGTACCACAGCCCACTGCGCCATATCCCAGTCTCAAGTCTTCGCCCCATCCCCTTCTCCTGGAAGATCACCTTGGGAATGTCAAAAGAAATAATACAATTTAGTTGGAGGATAATGGCACTAATGGATAACAGGCTAATAGGAAATGAAGGAGCATACAGAACATTAGATAAAGTTATAGAACATGTGTAACTAACAGTGCCCTTACCAACCACATCCTGTGCTGTATCATCAGCGATCTGAATGCTCTCTGCTTCTGCTAAGTGAGTGTAAGATAAAAACTCACTGACATTGCCTGTCACATGTCTGGATGCTCCAGAATCCATTATCCAAACGGTGGATCTTTCCTCATTTGGGTGTGCGCGAAGGGCGTAATTGGCATAGTCTCCTCCAGAGATAGTAGTAGATGCCCCTCAGACACATCACCTACTGCTCTCTGCTTCCTCCTCAGTGCTGCCAAGAGTGTCCGATCCTCATCAGTGAAGATCATCTCAGATTCTTCTTCCCTTTCTGCCACTGTCAAGTTTGCACGGTGGCCTCCTCTTCCACCTCGCCTGCCTCCACGACCACGGCCTCCAGCCTAACCACGTCCACCCCAGTCCCTTTCCCTGGGTGGCTTAGGGCACATCTGTCTCAGATGCCCTATCTCTCCACAGTTGAAGCACTGCCTAGTCTCCCCTCTGAATCCGGTGTTATCCGGGTTGGATACCACTAGTGCAGACTTCTCCCTTGTAAGTCCACCTATCCCAGACTGTAGCCTGATACGGCTCTCCTCCTGTATCATGACCGAGACTGCCTCCTCCAGTGGTGGGATCTTCGTCTGGGTTAGTAGCAATGTCGTCCTCTACTCATACGCTAGAGTCAAACCTCGAAAAAAAACATGGTCCTCTTCTGCAAAGAGACCTCGCGCTCCTTGCACTCCGGGTCCTTACAGCTTGCTAGGGGCGAGAAGTGATCATGATCAAACCACAAGCGCTCCAGCTCTGTGACGTACTCCTGTACAGTCCTCTCTCCCTGGACTATAGCGCTGATCTCACCACAAGCGCTCCAGCTCTGTGACGTACTCCTGTACAGTCCTCTCTCCCTGGACTATAGCGCTGATCTCCTTCTCGATCTGGAATACCCTCAGGTTATTTCTCACCCCATCGTAGGTCCTCCTTAGCTTCTCCCAGACATCCTGCACCCTCCCAAGACCATCCACTGTGGCAGCAATTGGCTGGACTACAGAATTCAGAAGCCAGATGTACACCAACATATGAGTGGACTTCCACTCATCTCTTTCTGCGGAGCCCTCAGCCGGTTCAGTTTTCTCCCCTGTCAGATATCCCTCCAGGCTCCTCCCGGCAAGGGTATATTTCACCCGTCGCGACCAACTTAGATATGTCGTGGGTCCATCGAGCTTTACATCGATAGGCGGAAGCTCCACCTTCTTGGGTGGTGGCTTTGTCGAGCCCTCTCCCTTCGACAACCTCATCAGTTGCATCAGTGTTAAGATCTCATCAGGATTCAACTTCTTGATGATCTCCTCCATCAGATTTTTTCCAGTCTTCGTCATCGATCCGACTTGTATTCTTGTGGTGCGTCGTGAAAATTCTAACAGCACTTCGACAGCACAACAAGAGAGTTAGATCAACAAGAATTCTTGTTTCACCAAGGAAACAATAACCAAAAGCAAGATATCTCAACAATGTGAGATATCAGTTCTTCCTCTCATCAGTTCGAGGACTGACCTATCGAGGGAACCTAAACAAGCTATTACAATTCGAGGAAAGAAAAAAAAACAAATCATCTAATACAGATTACAGATTCCATTTTTTTCTTCTTCTTTTTTTTATGAAGTCTAATCAGCAATAGTCCTGCCGTCCTGGTCATCTTCTCTCCCTTCATAATTTCTGCCGTAATCACAAAGAATCCCCTTCCCCAAATCACCGAATCACAAAGACCCCCCCCCCCCAAATAAAACACAACGGAGCCTCTTCAACCGCCGGAAAGGTCAACTGGAGGTCATCTACGCCCAAGTTCTCCATCATCGCCGCCGGAGAACTCCTCGTACCTCTTCGCTGGCTCCGGGTCGGTTACTTCACCGCGTCCTCAGATCTCAAACGACGGCGTCCTCCTTTGTCTTCGTCGGAGGAGGAGAGCCCAAGTTCAGGAAGAGTGGGTCGGACCACGCATGGCACCTGTACTCGGCCCACCCACGCGCCTCGGCCCTGTCGACCTGGTGCCCACTCGTCTTCGTCTGGATCCTCGACAAAAATGGAGTTACGGAGGCTAGGGTTCGAGCTGGGCTCTCGAAGGCGGCGGAAGATGAGTTCACTTCACGGTTAGGGGGAGTTGAGCGATAAAGGGCGGATTTGGCTCAGAGTAGGGAGGCGGCTAGGTGAGCGGTGGATTTGGCTCTGATACCATGTAGAAAGATTAGGGTTATCTTCATTGATAGAATGACTTATATAGCCTTACACTCACATTTACACAAAACCCCTCTAATATTCCTTAATTACATTATCTTTTCAACTCTATCCTAGCATACGGATTTGGATTTTTTTAGTCACACATGATAGGTCCCAATTTTGATTTAGTGCGGAAAGGTGCTTGTACCAATTGGAGCTTGAAGAACTAGCATAGGAGCTAAACAATACTCATTATGTTCACTAATGGCATGTATAGATGATGGCCTGCAGTATTTACCTACGACATGCAGGATGGGGCTGGAAACAGTGTCCACTGGAGAAAGTCTCGGACAATGGAAACCAAAAAGGTGGTTGTTGAGCAGCATGCCACTAATGATCACATTGATGGAGATCTTTGACAAAGAGATCATCCTTGTTATCTTATCTTTTTCTCTTTCTTTTGAGAATTTATCACTGAGACTTCTGGTTGGAAAAGTTCTTTTCCTAAAGCTAGTAATGTACTGGAGTGTGTTAGCTTGTAGTGAATCTAAATTGAAAATCTGAGATTTCACATTACAATGACATGGAAATGTAAGATAGGCCTAGTGAATAGCTTCATTTGTCATGCTTTTTTATAACCTAGATAATCCATAGCACCTCTTTATTTCTCATCCTGCCCAAGCTTCTTGGTGTTGGGTCAGCACAGCCCTTGAGAAGGAAAGTAGCTATGGATTCTTTGGGTGCAGAACTCTCTTCACCTGGATCGAGGACACAAACTTGAAGATAGGAATTGTTGCCATTTGAGTAATTTTTCATCCATTTTCATTAAGAGTAAACTTTTTTACTTTTTAACAAAAGCTAGCTACTTTTGACCAAGAAAGAGTTCAACCCTATACTAGTTGTGATTATGTTTTAATGATAATTAGTGATTAATGATCTAGCTGTCACAGAGGATTAATGTTCTTTTATATGATGAATCGATGTTTATTAGCTTTTTCATTAAATAGAAAAGTACATCCACAAAAATAAATGCAAAACTGCAGGTATGGATAAATATAAAAAGTGCAGAGAGAACAAAATGAATTTGTATAAGGACATGGAAAAATCTGTTTTTTTAAAGTGAAAGTGCTTGCTTCTTTTCAATGATGGAGAATTGAAGAAGTTTGACTTTGTTGTACACTGCAAGAAGTCATTAATTGTATGAGAGTACATAAAAGTGTGAAGCTTTTATTTTCACCCCTGCTCTAGGACTAGATCATGTAGGCCTTTAGTTAGTTTTACCTAATAAAAGGATCAAAATCTTCCATTACAGTCATTGAAAGGTGATTTATTATTTTTGGAAGAAATGACTTTCTTGTGTAAAATGAGAACCCACCCATGGCGTGAGGGTGACCATAATGTGAAGCCTTCATTTCCCAACCACCTTTCTTCTTTATTTCCCTACTTCTGCTCATGCGACTTTGATCTCCATTTTAGAGTGTTCCACTAAGTCAAATAACGAATTGCACCCAAAAGCTAAATTGATAAGTTATGGACTAACAACATCTAATAGTCACCCTCATGTGGGCTATTCAGCCACGTGAAATGCCTTTAGCATTGACGACTTGTTTGGAAAGGAAGAACAAATGCGGTAAGTAAAAAGTGGAGGCCCGCTTATCTTAAAATTCAGTGGTCTGATGAGATAATCCAAGATATCCCAAAGCTCCATGCTATGATCAGACAGCAACTAACTCCAAAGCTAAAAGCTAATAGGTGGTGGTCGTGTAACAGTGTGTATGAAGCAAACCTATGAGTTAATCCTTTCAATATGCTGGTTCATTTTAAGAACTCTTCAACTATGTTTTAAGAGAATTACATGTTAGATATGTTTTAACACTTTGTATATTGCACATACGGGTACCAAGTTGTATGTTTCTTGCAGATCTTTCTTATAAGAACATTACCAGGTGGTGTTCCCTCTTCCCTCTTTTCGTGAATGATAACTGTAAGGATGTTGTTTCTATAAATCTCTAAATGTTATGCAGATATAAGAGCTGTGTTTTGCCTCCATGAACATTTTCATCAGTAAGTACTGATATTCAACGAATGACCATGAAATGAAAAAAAAGTGATCTTTCACTCAAACCAATGCTTTTAGGCATCCTGCTGGATATTACTTGATAGTTTAAGGACATTGATGAAGATTAGGAAAGATATTGCAAATATAAAATTGAAGGTTGGTGAATATTATAGATGGTAAAATAATGTAAATAAGTGTGGATAAATGGATTATTACGATCAAATTACAACATTGAAGAGTAAAACATGCTTGTAATCAGAGTGTACTTTATGTTAGATCATAATATTGTTTAAATTCGATGAGACAGTTGCACCACTTACCTTCCCGTGACATGAAGTAACTCTGCCAGATCAATCTTTATCTTTTCAAGAATATCATCATCTATGTTCACATATTCTGAGTCCTTTATAACTAGAATACCACCTCTATACATGGATATTGCTTCCTCTACGCTTCCTATGAAATATATGAAGGTAGTTAATCAAACATGTAAAAGAAAATGGAAAAATAAATGATCTTAGAAGTGGTTCCAGCTTAATGTGCCAAATATTTTTGGCTCAGATGAAACTTGCCTACTGGCAACATTTGACAACAGAAGTTACCTTTTGCACACAGAGCATGGGCCAAGGAACACATTGCCATTCCTACCCTTCCATCATTATCCCCATGAGCTTTCTTGTATATGTTTAAAATTCTTGACAAGGCAGAGGGGAAATTCAGATAAATAAGCACCATGTAAAAGCTGGATTTATCAATTATGACAAACAGAAACGACCTGAAATATATCAAAACTATGACATTTCCTACAACAAATATCAGGATGAATATGAATATAATAAAACATTTTTAATACACTTTGATGCTATTATCTGTAGACACAAGGAATTTTCCATGAATCCTCTGGGTGTTCAAACTCCCTACTGGGCTAGATAGGAATTACTCGTAACTTTCAAATAGTTGAAACATACAAATGAACAAAAGACAAACTCATTTATGCCTTTGTTTTGGCACAATAAAATACGAACAAACTGTAAGTTACTGTGTTGACATGCGTATTTCTAGACAAATACATGTACTAGGTTTTGGATAAATAATGTGTCTGATACCTATTGTTCATGTTAGATCGGGATAGGTGTGCGCATCTAGGATGTATTTCTTCTCGGAAAATGACATACTATTTATTTATCCCAAGCAATGTCCTAATTTTAAGTATGGTATCATAATCTATGGCTCATAAACATGGACATGAATGTTTTACTAAGACATGGACATGGGATGTTCAAGACATTTCTGATCTCGTGCAGAAGTACATAACACGCCGTTGTGATCAACATAGACACAATTCTGACTTGTAATGTATGCAAGGCCAGTTTCACAAGATTATCTTTATTAAAAAAAACTCTGAACTTATAAATGCTCAATAATGTTTGAATGAGATAGTCATCTTTTAGAAGAGGAACATTTTAAGCTAAGCATAGAACAGGTAACATATACCACAACAGCTATAAGAGTCACTTGAGCAACAATTCCAGAAAGCATATTACTTATGATTCTAAATAATGTCTTTTTCTGCTTGCTTTATACATACTTGTTGATGCTTGTAGCTAATCCAACCAAACACGATGAAATGTTTACTTACCTTCTAAAGCAAGCTTCAGCGTCCACTGCCTTTCCTTCATTAATAAAAAGATTCCCGAGGCTAACCAAAGGTACCACAAGCTCCTCACTATCCGCTCCTCTACTCTTTTCTACAATGTCAACAGACTTGTGATAAAGAGCTGCAGATTTTGTGGATCTTCCAAGTAACCTGTAGACTTTTGCCATTCCCATAAGTGGTGTAATGAGAAAAGGACTGTCCTTTCCTGCAATAAGAATCATAATCTCAATTTTTCCAAATAAACATCTTCAAATAAATAGAAAGTTTGGAGATAAATGTAAATTACCATGTTCTTTATGCAGGAGAAGTGGTAAAGTTATATATTTGAATTTTAGAGGGTAAAATTGGTTTCAGCAGAACTACATTTATTAAGAAATGTAGCCTTTTGATAGCATGCCAGTTTAGCTCTTAACAGCTCTGAGCTTTATTCTAGATAAACAGACTTTAGATCTATGTACTTCCAAAGCAAGTCAGTTTGCGCATAAACAAAATGCCCGAGAAAATCATTTTTGTGGAATGGCTTGATTATTTATGTCCTAAGAGCATCTCCAACCATAAAACTCAAAATGGTGTAGTTTTTACACCAAATTGGTGTAGTTTTTACACCAAATTACTATTCCATCTCCAACCCATTACACCAAATGTTACACCAAATTGGAATATTCCTTTTATTATTCTTATCTTTTAACATTTTTTGAAATTAAAAATATTTAACAAATTATATAATTATATAATTATATAATACATATAATTAATTATAATAAGGGGTTTTTGTCTTTAAGCCCATTTGTTTACATATCTTTATTTTTAAACCCACTCATTATTAGTTGTATTCTTAAGCCCAATTCATTTTTGGTATTTGTCTTTAAACCCAATTCTAAAATACAATACTTTTACTACTTGTATTTATACAGAATGAATGTCAAAACCCTAAAATACCCCTTTGATTGGCCCCATAAATCCCAGTGTCTCTCTCTCATCTTCCCCATTTCACCTCAGCCCATCTCCAGCCGCCGACGCCCCACTCTAGCTGCCGCCGGCGATCTCGGCCCCCGTCACCCTCTCCCGCCTCTTCAAGAACTCCCCCTCCTCCCCCAAAACCCTAACCCTAATCAAGTCCTTAAGAGTTCGGTTGGAGGAGAAATAGTAACTTTTTTTGCGTCAAATTGATGGGATGAAGTTCGGTTGGAGAAGCTCTAAAGGCAGCAGATAAAGATAAGCACCAACGCACAAGCAGATAAAAAAACTACTTGATTGGTTTATACAGTAAAATGTATCAATGTCACCTTCACCTGTAATTTGTTCGAAGAAAATTTGAGATAAAACATGAGAAGGTCAAAAGATGTATAATCTTTCAAGGACATGCTAGATTCAAATGACATGACTGCCTGGTGGATTGCTTAGTCGTTGGAATGAACTATAATTTCAAACACTGACGTGAATGTCACACTTTCACACGGTTATGGGATGTTATCATGTTATACACCGCAGGTCTCAAAAAAACTAAAAGAGGGACAACGATATTTTTTTTCTTAGGGGTTTTTGCTTTTAGACCCATTTGTTTACTCCCATTTATTTTTAAACCCAAGTACTATTATTTGTATCTTTAAGCCCAATTCACCTTTTGTATTTATCTTTAAACCCAAAACCACTTATTTTTATATTTTGAAGATTGGGTTTAAAAATAAATACAAAATGTGAATTGGGCTTAAAGATACAAATAATAGTACATGGGTTTAAAAATAAATGGGAGTAAACAAATGGGTCTAAAAGCAAAAACCCCTTTTTCTTAATATATGTGAATCTCCTTTCCTCATCTTTCTTAGATTTTGAGAAAGTTAACGGGGCTAAAATGGTTTCTACTTTGTCTCTTAGAAAAAATAACTATTTACTTAAACGGAAGATGATATACTTATTTCTACACATATTTGGCATTTCAACCATTTATACGTGAGGAAAGTTGACATGCTATCATGTCTAATAGATGAACATGTCAATTTTTGGAAGGAAGAAATACTTTATATGTAATATGGAATTAAAGACTTTCCTATCAAGATTGTCTTCTTGTCCCCTTTTTTTCTGGGTGGGGGGCTTTGTAATTTGTCAGAGATATGCCAAAGAAGTCTGCAAACATATCAACTGAAATAATCCACGATTACACACAAACGAGTCCCCCATGATCTGCCAAAGGTTGAACAAGGAAATTATACTGTCATCTATAACTCTAGGAAAGCCATCTAAAATCATTAATTGGGAAGTTCAGTCTATGTTGAGAAACACCATATAAGAGGCTCCAGTACAGATAATGGAAGAAACATTTCCATTATTTGTGTGATTTTAAATATGATAAAAGTCTTTTGACTTTTGGTCTTCTTTTTGATAGGTGTTCTTAGTGTCTGGAGACCTCTATGAAGAATATGATCCTTTGCCACCTGATCATCTGTCCTGGTTATCTTTAATTATATTATAATTTTTTACATCTTGCGTACTTACCCTGTAACCCTTTATTTAGGGATTTTAAACATTACCAGTACATGTGAACTTGATACCAGTCAACAATCTGCTATTCTATAAGCCAACAATGTTCTGTAAATATGTCAAGTATATGTAAATACGAAGTTCACTAGTTTAGTTTTATTGACCAACAACTCAAACCTTCTTACCACACTGTCATGACATTCCCACTCAATATACTCTGAATCAAAGATTTCTACAATATTTGCTGGTGTACTACATATAGTCAATAAAAAAAATAAGAAACTGAAAATTTGTGTGGACAATGGTCAGTTTTATGTGTCTATAACTATAAGATTACTGATTTTACTCTATTAAACAATTTTTCTCTTACATGGTGTTCCACTGCCTTGATCAACATTTATTCATTTTCACATATAAACATATAAAAGAGAGCTCAATATGCTCTCCACTCACTGTGACAATATATGCAGATACTAACAAATCAGACCCAAGAAATTATGCATACTTTTGAAGTATTTTACAAAGCATGTGAGCAACCATCTGATGGTAGTCAGCTAGAAAAGTTGAGCAACATAACTTACCAAACTCTTTCTCTAAAATTTTGAGCCCTCTTTCATATACAAGCATAGCATCCTCAAATTTCCCCAGATTTGCATATATACTTCCCATATGCATTAGTATTGAATCCATTAGTGGCATATCATCATGTAGACCACTCATGACCTCTTTCAGCTGTTAATCACCAAGGATAGAACATGAGTCTTAATAATCCAATAATGGGGAAGGAAGAGAATGAGTGACAATTTTAACACCTAATTGATGATTTTATAACTAATGAACTTTTCCAAAAGAGAATAGACCCTAAAATACTAGCTGTACATAAAAATGTTATGAAGGAACAGTAAAATCTAGTGCAGAGCTAAAATCTATCAAGGGGCAGTAAAATACTAGGTGTACATAAAAGAACTTTATATCTGCATTTCCCCTCAGGAAATTGCACCTTTCCACATCATATATCAATCTTATTATCAATGCCGGAGCCAGAAATTTTACCTCGCTGGGGCCAAGACACATAAGTAACCCCTTATTTATTTCATAAGACTAACACTAACGTCAAAATTAATTCCTACGTGTTTACACCATTCAAAGATATTCCTCTATGATCATGTTGGTGGTAAAATTTTCTGCAAGAACTTTTCCAATTCATATAACCAAGTTTTTGCAAGAAACCTATCGATCATTTTTTTTCCAAAGCCTTGTTTTCACAATTCACAACTGAAAGTGATTGCAATTTAGTTGCATTAGAAACAAGAAATGCTAAAGCAAGACGAACTGATATATTCTTAAAAATCTATAATTTTGGGTATGACTAAGTAATAGCTGACCACTAATTTATTGCTAACATCGTTGGCAAGAGACTCACAAATTGTGTGGATATATTTTTTCTATTTGTGGCATTGCAACTTTTAGTAAGTGTATGTTCAAGAGAGGTGGCAGGCTAGCTGTTGCTACTTAGGCCCAAGCCACCCAACACACTCGATAAGAAATACAGTAGTTCTCTAGCTAGTAGCTACTCAGCCCTAGCTAGTTGTAAACTTTATTCAAAAGAACTCATTGCAATAGCAGATTAAAACATAATCCCGAAGTTGCATGTGGCTCTGCCCCTGCTTATTTTGTTCATAGACAAAAGATAAACAACATATGGGGATGAGAAAACCAGATGCATAGAATAAATGTTGGATATGTATCGGTAGTACACATCCGTTATAGAATCTTCACGTATTTGATACGAATTACAAGAAGACAATACTCTTCTAATACTAGAGATGGAAACACAACACAAGAGAGCATAGAGGGATTGTACATGCAATTCTGGAAGCATACATAAGTTACTATGTCTCAGAATTTATAGTTACAAGAAAGACATTATACAGCTAATGCCACTATATGATTCAAGGATTCAGACAATTGCACTCTGGCCACGATGGATGCATCACATGGTTGATGTTTTATAAGCGGAAAACTTGAAATTTATGCCTAAGGACGTCAGCTTCTCTAAGTGGTTGAAAAAAATGAAAGTATTTGATATGTTCCCTAGACATCTGGGCTCCTTGGGTTGCATTTTAATTAATGAAGAAATAACTAGTATATGAGAGGCGATGCTAATTTCCCTTGGGCTATCACAAGTGAATGAATGCATCCACGTATTCAAGAGCATGGTCCTATATAACATGATTTGGTAAGTTTCAATGCTTACAGATGTACTACTAATTTCATAAGTTGACTTTCCTTTGATTGACTGGTTAAGTAAAACAAAGATACTGTCTACCATTTTTTGTTTCCTCCTTTCCCAGTTAATCCTTTTTATCTAATAAAAACAAAGACAACACTTCCCTTCCGCGTTCTCTCTTCCAATGTTAGCTTTTGTTCAATTAGTGTGTCAAACTTCAAATTGTAACAAGACACGTACATAGTTCATAGGTGCATATTGTAGATATCTGTTGCAAAGTACAGAAAGAAGTAAACAGATTTCTCATGTATTTCTTTCAACTGGTTGGAAACTTGGATAGCCGTAATTTCTTATAAATAGTAAGTAGAAGTACAACAAAAAAATTGATAAATAAGAGCCAGAACATGTTTTCAATGACATAGAATGCTAAAACAAGATCCACAAGGAAGTAGTAGAATGACTTTTAATTTATTTTTTTCAGCATGTGTTTTATGTTTGTCAAACTGCTGAGTGCGGGAGCTGCTTCACTTTCCTGCTAGACTACCCCCATCACCACCATATGTACACGTCTACCTGATCTAATAATTGAAAGACTTGCTTTAGATAGCTGTCAGTTTGAATACAAACCCTTTTAAGGAAATAGGGGTTGTTTGCATGGATGGATGCCCTGATATCTAATTCCAATATAGTTTAATACCAGCTCATCGGCACAGGAGATGTCTGAAAACTTTGTTGTGTTGAGTAAGGCCTAAAAACTGTCTTAACATAAACAGGCCTTTACTTATATGATGAATGTGCTAGATTTCTCTGTATATAGACAATTTATATGAAAATGCTAAATAAAATATCTAAGGTACATACAAAGATTGGTGGCCAAATTTCACAAAATTCTCCTACACTTTGGGGATTTTGCAGAAAATAGTCCTGAACACTATAAATCATCAAAAACCCCAAATTTGTCTCACTTAGGTACTATCATTGAAGGCAATTACTTTAAATATAGCTTATATTTAACTATTTCAGGTCAGTGTAGGTAAAAAAACAAAAAGGTTAGTTTAGATTTTTTTAACTCTATCTGCTAACGCCATTTATGAGAGTTTCCAAGAGTTCAGGTGGTTTTACTTTAAATTTGAAAGTTGTGATTTAAGTTTTGGGAGTGAAACACCAAAGCTCAGACGAGTTTTGTGAAATTTACCCAAGATTGGTTCTTAAAAATTGTATGGAGTTCTAAATAGGAAATACAAGTAAACTACTTAGTTTAGGGGGTTCTACTAAACTTTTGAAGCTCAGGGGATTCAATGATTTAAGTTTAGGGACCCCAAAGTCCAGTGGAGTTTTATGAAATTTACCCAAGATTGGCTCTATAGAAAACTTCTGGTAGTTGTTATTAGTTACCACAACTAAACTACTTAGTTGTAATACTTGGAGAGTTAGTAACTAGTCATGAGGAGAATATTACGTCCTCCCAGTCATCATTATATATGATGTCATTGCTTCATTATTCGTTAAAACTTTCCAGCATATTAATGCGTTGTTTCTGAAATTGCACATACTGCTCTGGACAGTATATGAGACCGAATCATGAATTATTGGAGGGAAAACAAATTACCATATGCAGTACGCGCTCGAGCTTTGAAACTTCACCAGCTCCCATGTATCCCAAGGCCAGAATGTCCAAGAGAGCAGCTTGCTCTATGCCTTTGGAACCACAAATCACCTGTTCTTTAGCCATCTCATAATTCGCTTGGAGTAGACACATGGCATCATTTTTGTTCCCCATTGCAAGCATAGTTTTGATTTCAACAAAGAGTTCTTGAAGCTGCCTTTCAAGATCATCCAGATTATCTACATTGGTATTTAAGTCATCAAGCATCTTTGACCTACCAACAATAATTATCAAATTACGTATGTACATACAAAATCATCATGAATTTTTGTTGGAGTATCTTTATCATATACTTATATAAGAATTAGTGATTGGAAAATCTGATATTTATACTGTCCAATCATACAACACAGTTGATCAGCTCATAAAATGAAATTTGTGGTCAGTATTGTGCATAACAAATAGCCAGGCTCTCTAAACATCTCAAAGTGCAAGCTAACCAACATAAAAGTGCATCTTCCATGTGACAAAATAGATGTTTTGATAAAAGCACAGTATCCAGGAACACGACAAATGAGGTGAGTTATGTTTGAACAACAACTTTGTAGAATAGGTTCATAGAATGTTGGAAATTGCATCAACTTACAGAGAATAACATGGTTACTTGAGGAAAAACCATAAGCGATGGGCAAATTAAAGTGGTACCTTGGCTTACATACGATTTTCAACCATTAAAGTACACAATCGACATCAATCCCTCAAGGGACCATTTTTTTTGGTAAATAAAATCATACAATAACAACTTGCCAATATTGGGTATGTTCGTGCATAGCAATATGCTCATTACTTAAAGTATACAGTGAGACCATGTTTCCTTCCTTTAGCAAGTGATGTCCTCACATTTTCCTTCTGTTTGCCTATCCTTATGGCTGACAATGATGAACACCTCTTGCATTTGGATCCAACATCCCTTTTGAGTCAAGCACCCCTATGGATATTAGATTGTAGCGTGTCTTCTGGACGTACCAGACTGCTTCTAGAACATACATAGTCTCATCCTTCCCTTAAATATTGATTTTCTCTGTGCCGACGATTTTGCATGCAATGTCATCTACCATCTTCACAGTTTCATCATCCGTCACAACTAAGGAGTCAAATCTTTCCCTTTAGAAACATAAACGATATTTGGTTCTAACAAACCTAGTGTACATCCACAGAGAGAGCAACGAGAATATTATTTTAAACTTCGTTACAAGAGCCACTCACCTTCCTCTTGAAAATCTAGACGAAAATCATAAAGGTACTCTTCCCGAAAAACCCTAGATCTCGAATTTCTTTAAATCTTGGATTTCAACATCTTACTTTTTACAACTCTTGAATATGTGGTTGTTTATACTTCCCGTCATAAAATTATTTCAACATAAGCACACTTTTTCTATTCACTTGGAAACAAGGCCTTACCATTACATAGGGATTATAGACATACTTAACTCAGAGTAGTCAATATGCTGTAGCAAAAATATGCATGCGTAATAAGAATAAAACAAAAACCCATAACACCTCAAAAAAAAAACAAACATATTCATTGAATTACTATGAAATACATATCAAGATATTCAGTCATGCTTACAATGTAGTGTGTAAACAACTAATTGCCGGTTAATGTTTTCGCTGCGCTTTGTTCTTCAATTTGTGTCGGGTTTCAACATTGCTAAGTTCAATTCCTGAAACTAAACTAACAAAAGAATGAAAAAGAATCAATCTCCCACCTCAAGGAAGTGCAATGTAGCTTTACAAATCCCTCCCCTGAGACACACTGCTGCAATCTCGCTCTCAAATAAAATCTACAGCTACTGCATTCTACACGTCCAAAATAGCTCAGAGAACTTGAAACAACGTCCTTGTACTTTATCCTGAAATCAAATAACGGAAAAAGATTAATGTGCATTCCAACAAACAGTTGGTGTGCAGAATTGGGTTTGAAGCTAATCCCATAAACAAGAGAGAGAATCCTGGAAACCAAAGAAGGAAGATTGAAATTATTGGATTTTAAAGAGAATGATGGCGAAAATACGTATAAAAGTTTACCTTTTATCGATTGAAACTAGGAGAGGATGAAGATGGAGAACAGAAATTGCCATAGCAGCTGAAAATGGTGAAGAGAAGAGGAGTCAATCGTTTATTTAATACGGGTAAACGGGTCGCGACTTTTGGGAGCTAATATGGATCCGATATCATGTTGAGTTTTTTTATATTAGTCCTCACATCTTCAATAATTCCATATTAGAGCCTCAAATCTTTGAAATTGCTCAGTGGTCCCTCAAATCCTAAATGGTCATGCAAATTGGTCCCTCAATGATCAAAATGCCCCTCAACTTAGGTGTTCTAGTTACTGGGGAAGACATAAGGTGAGAGGTGTTTTGGTCATTGAGGGACCAATTTGCAAAACCTCTTAAGATTTGAGGGAATTCTCTGTATTTTCAAATGTTTGAGAAACTAACATGGAATAATTGAAGATTTGGGGGCTGATATCTAAAAAAACCCTATGATATTTTCTCTTGCCCGGTCAGTTTTCGCCCTTAAAGCCCGACAAAAGAAGAACATTTTATTCAATTGATAAATATTGGGAAAATGTGTCAATGCCCCCAAAATAAACAAGCTAGTGTGGCCGAGTCCTATCAACTTTTTCTCTGGCTCTTTAGCCCCAAAAGAGACTAAAAAGTGTGACCCGGCCCTAAAAGCCCACTTTTATACATGTACTCTATATATTTTCACCATCCTACTGAAAATGCCCTCTTCTCTCACCCCGGAAACCGTCTTCTTCACCCATCAACCCGGTGATCTTTGTCATCGCAATTAATACGAATTGATGGCAAAAACAGAGAGAAAAAAGCACGGGTTCCCTCCATTACAGGTCTAACTCATCATGGATTATATATTTTATAGTTTTATCTCACTCTCTCATTTATGATATTAGGGTTTTTATTCTTCAACTTTCAATAACCCCTTACGCGTTAAAAACTCTCTCAATTACTCCTCATAACTGTCATCATAACTTTCAACACCCCCAATGGCCGCCAAAGACTTAATTTGCATGGTGTCCTTAGGCGAGAAAGCTATATTCTTGATGCTAAGTTCTACAACAAGATATTTTGAACTGAAATTTGATGTATCTAAAAGATTGAAAGTACCTCAAGATGCTTTATCACTAATATATAAATATGAGAAGCACCCGAACCTGAGTTTTTAAGTTGATAATGAAGATAATTTGAAGTGCATGTTGGAGCATAATCGAAATATTGGTTGTACGAAAATTCACATGCAAACTGTTGTTAATATAGAGGGTTGTACTTCTGGAAAAAAATCAGAAAGTTCTTACTAAAATGTAAGTATTCAATGAACTTTTTTTAAAACTGGGCTTTGTGTGATGTAAACTTTGTGATTTCAAGTTTCATTGCACAGTCGAAAATATAGTTGTCATCTCTAATGGTTAGATGTTAACTCTTCATGTAAAATGTTAAGTTTTTTATTCTTCAACTTTCAACAACCACTTAGCGCTAAAAATTCCCTCAATTACTCCTCATAACTATCCTCATAACTTTCAACAACCACCAATGGCCGCGAAAGACTTGATTTGCATGGTGTCGTTAGGCGAGAAGGCTATATTCTTGACGCTAAGTTCTACAACAAGTTTTTTGAACTAAAATTTAATATGTCTGAATGACTAAAAGTACCTCAAGATGCTTTAACTTTCATATATATATATATTGAGTTCTTCAGTTGATAATTAAGATGATTTGAAGTGCATGTTAGAGCACAATCGAAATACTAGTTGTATGAAGATTAACATGCAAGTTGTTGTTAATATAGAGGGTTGTACTTCTGAAAAAAATCAGAAAGTTCTTACTGAAATGTAAGTAATCAATGAACTCTTTTTAAAACTGGGTTTTGTGTGATGTAAACTTTGTGATTTCAGATTTCAATACACAGACAAAAAACATAGTTGCTATCTCTAATGGTTAGATGTTAACTCTTCTTATTTATATAATGTTAAGTTTCAACGAGATATGTTAACTTTTACACGAACATGTTAACTTTCACGTGAACATGTTAGGTTTTTCATAAAGTTGTTAACTTTCCTCGTAGTGTGTTAACTATGCGTATAATCTGTTAAATTCCACTGCTCTATGTTTACTAAAACATGTTAATTTTACTCCTAGTCAGTTAACGCTCATAGTTACCTGTTAGTTTACATAAGAAGCTGTTAATTTAAAATATCAGAAGATAATACTATACTTTAGTTGAATATGATATCTTACTGGTTCATTAATTTGTACAGCAGTGATGTCTCTTTGAATGCAGAATATAGTCATCTTCCTTCAGGAAATACTTCTAATTCAGAGAGAATCCAAAATGATTGCCCGTCTGGTGAGAATGTAATCAGAACCGATGATATTCTCAACAACACTTCCATCATTCCTCAATGGTGGCACACATCATTAACTAATAAGGGGCAACTGTAGGCAATAAAAATTGCCTTTAATCCTTATCAGAGAAGTTCAGAACAAAACTGCTAAAAACTCGCCCGAAATAGCAGAAAAAGGGGAAAACGCGGATATCTCCCAAACCGTAAGGAATTTGGCGAAACGGAGGAAGCGAACCGTAGCCTTCGGCTAGGTTCGGATGGCTCCATCTCGTCGAGATAGGCGATTTTCACATATAATTCGTCCAATTCCGACTTACGGTTTGAAAGTTACGGCCTATTCTTCGATCCATGCTATAGAGCTCGCCTAACGGCTTGAAGATCGCCTGCAGACCCAGGTTCGTTTGCAGTCCCCAGCTTCGCCTGCAGTTGCAAATCCGCCTGCAGACCCAAGTCTGCCTGCAATCCCCAGCTCTGCCTGCAGTCTCAAATCCGCCTGCAGACCCAAGTCTGCCTGATCGCCTGCAACTCGAAATTCGCCTGCATCCCAAATCCGCCTGCAGACCCAAGTCTGCCTGCGCACCTGAGCTCGCCTGCAAACCCAGTTCGCCTGCTAGCTCGCCTGCAGACCCAAGTCCGCCTGCAGTCCCAAACTCACCTGCAGACCCAGTTCGCCTGCAAGCTCGCCTGCAGACCCAAGCTGCAGACTCGCCAGCTCACTGTCAACTGCCCACTTGGAGTATGGGAACAGTTACATCAGTGGTCAAATCCCACAAATCAAGGGAGAAAGCATGGCGCTCCTCACCCGTCAGATGGCCGTCCACAGTACGAATGAGCGGACAGGCGCCGAAACAGCCTGCACCCTCATAAATGCGGCTCACCTCAGTTGTCCAGGTGAAGGGACGAGAGCCGCCAACGCTCGGTGGTTGGTCAGATCCACGCAAGCATCTGACAGCCGTTGTCACGCATACGAGGAGGGGCTTTCCCACTCCTATGTAGCGTGATGCAGAGCACAGCTCTTCGAATGACCATTGACGGTACGAATGAACAGCAGGACGTCTCCGAACAACGTGTGGTCACATCCCATAATTCAAGGAGCAGTCAAGCTATCTCCCTCACCTCTATTAGTGGTCAAATCCCATGAATCAAGGGATAGCCCATGCCATCCCTTGCCTGTTAAAACCCATCTTCAGCAGCATGAAGAAGGGGGATTGGCCGTTGCATATTCTGCTGGCTAATCTCCCAAAGGTTGAACCTGGACCTTTGCCAAAGGCTCCCTCATTTGAGAACCGAAGCTCCGGCAGCAACTTCGATCGGATCGTCCAAGGGAAGCAGACTCGGCACGAGCACCGAGCGAGGCATCCTATCGCCACCTAAAGTCCCCACACAAAACAAAGAGGGCCTTCCCTCTGCTTCTGTTGTAAACATTTGATTTGTTAGTTTGTAATAAGCTTTCTTATAAATACAAACGAAACTCCTTTCTTCGGAAGAATCAAATTTTCACCCTACAGAAGATGGCGACCACAGTGGGAGAATCCGTTCATTCAGATGAATTGGTGGTGGCGCAGTCTGACGAAGTTGCTGCAGGGACTACTGTTGAGTCCCTTGTGATCAAATTCGAAGGGTACTTACAATCGTCCTCTTCTCGCAGCAATACATCTCGCGATGGTTGCAGAGTCGTCGATCCTCGCAAACCCCTGTGCAAAAGGAATCAACCATTCGTGTCGACGCAGACTACGCCTCCGCCGTCGACATGAACGCTCCTCGTTTAAAAAGATCCAAACAGCGGCGACGAAAAGCTCTCGCTCATCTCGAGGCGCAATCCCTCATCCCCCATGACAGCCTGAATTATTATTCAGGCTTGGGGGGGATCAACATTTTGAGCCAGGTTCCCATTTTTGGCGAACCGCTCAAATTAGGCGAGCCTAGCAGTTTAGGCGAGCCCATCTCTTTGAGCCAGGTTCCCGATTTTGGCAAACCGCTTAAATCGGGCAAGCCTAGCAGTTTAGGCGAGCCCAACCTCTTGAGCCAAGTTTCTATTTTTGGCGAACCGCTCAAATCAGGCGAGCCTAGCAGTTTAGGCGAGCCCCACTCTGTGAGCAAGGTGCTCAATTTTGGCGAACCAAGAGCACCTGGCGAACTCTGCAGTTTAAGAGGGCTTCGTCAAACAAGCGAACTTCACCAAGCTCGCCTGACGGCCCAAGATCGCCAGAAAGGCGTCTTTGAGCCAGGTTCCCAGTTTCGGCGAACCGCTCAAATCAGGCGAGCTTAACAGTTGAGGCGAGCTCATCTCTTTGAGCCAGGTTCCCAGTTTCGGCGAACCGCTCAAATCAGGCGAGCTTAACAGTTGAGGCGAGCTCATCTCTTTGAGCCAGGTTCCCAGTTTCGGCGAACCGCTCAAATCAGGCGAGCTTAACAGTTGAGGCGAGCTCATCTCTTTGAGCCAGGTTCCCAGTTTCGGCGAACCGCTCAAATCAGGCGAGCTTAACAGTTGAGGCGAGCTCATCTCTTTGAGCCAGGTTCCCAGTTTCGGCGAACCGCTCAAATCAGGCGAGCTTAACAGTTGAGGCGAGCTCATCTCTTTGAGCCAGGTTCCCAGTTTCGGCGAACCGCTCAAATCAGGCGAGCTTAACAGTTGAGGCGAGCTCATCTCTTTGAGCCAGGTTCCCAGTTTCGGCGAACCGCTCAAATCAGGCGAGCTTAACAGTTGAGGCGAGCTCATCTCTTTGAGCCAGGTTCCCAGTTTCGGCGAACCGC